TGTGTGTGTGCCTCCCCCCTCTCTCCCTCCCTCCCTCCAAATTCGAGATTACCTTCCCCTTTTTCCTCCCAAACTCTTGATCTCGCTCTCTCTCATTGTATGGTTATCTTCCCATAATTCTCTCTAATGCGATATAGCTGCACTGGTCCTTGTCAAGACACTAGATGATGACAAAGTGAATGAAAAGATACAAAAATACAAGAATAAGAAAGACTTCCAAAAGCCAGAAGTATTGAAGGGATTGTCATCAGAGTAGGAGCATCATGACATCTTTCGACGTCTTGCTCGAAAGCATTGGTTCGAGCAAGAAAAGTGAGAAAAGTAAACGAAAAGAATAATCAGAAGTCAAAAATACAGAGAGACTTTGAATCCGAAAAGGCAAATTACCACTTAATTTTGTATTCAGTATAAGCAAGTTCTAGGAACAAATTGTCACGGAATAATTTCAGTGCCAAAACGATATGTGAGCTGCCAGACCTGCAAAAAACGCTATTGAGCTGCTGTATGAAATACAATGCAAGTTATGCAACAACAATTCAGACAATTTGCATTCTCGTAAATCCTGTCCCTCATCCCTCTCCCCTTGATGTTATCATCTGGTCGTTTTCTTTTTTTTGACTCGGGTGGAGCTGCCCCTGGTCTGTCTTGTATGCTTAATGAGTGGGCCTCTTGTATGCTTAATGTGGCATACTGCGCAGCCAAAGGGGCCTGCAGGGCCCGACCAGACGGAAATTCAGGGCCCTATAGGCCCTGTGTCAGCCTAAAAGCCTGAAAACGAGGGCCTACAGGTCCTGTGTCGTTTCATCCTAAAAGCCTGAAAACGAGGGCCATTTTCAGGCCCTCAAAAAGTCGACCTGCCCTGGAACTTAGGCACCAGACCAGGGTTTTAGCACAGGCCATTTTGGACGTGTTTTCAAGACAACCTTTGTTTGAACTTCAACGCCAGGGTCTGGCACGTTTTGGCATTGGCAAGAGCAGCCTCCTGGACGGGCCAACACGTTTTGGCATTGGTAAAAGCAGCCTCCTGGACGGGCCAGCACTATCTAAGACTGGCCCGCCCTACAGGCTGCAGGTGGTCACGAGGCAGTTCATAGGGACTTCCCAGGCACTTCACGTGCAGGAGGCAGGAGGCAGTGTTCAGGATTCGGCAGCAGCACTCTGGAGGAGCGCTGCAGTAGTAGTAGTAGTAGCGTTAGCAGTAGTCTTCAGCGCTGGGCGCTATTAGGAGCTAGAGTAGCGTTGGAGCGAGAGAGATGGTTGGCGGAGGCCAGGGAGACTTACCTGTGGCGCCATAGCTCCAGCTTCGTCTTCGATGTACCTGCAACAAGGCGCCACCTTCACAGGTTAGTACCGGACTGAGAGAGAGAGAGAGAGAGAGAGAGAGAGAGAGAGAGAGAGAGAGTTCTTCTTCTTCCTCTTCTAAGTCCACCATCTCTCCCTCACCCTCTCGCTACCTAACTTCTCAGTGTCTGCAGACTACGCGCGCGAGAGAGAGACTGGTGACTTTGGGCCTTGACGACATTTGGATCCAGACTCCACGTTGGGATTGAGACATCGGACGAGGGATTGTTTGGGACGAAGACTTGGTGTTGACGGTATTCCCATCTTCCCCTCTTCTTCGTCTAACCCGCCTCTTCTTCGTCTCTGTATGGTTGGGGACTGGCACAGTCTTCCTGTGTGAGCGCCAGCCCCTTCACACCATGGAATGATGATGATGTATGTTTGGTCTGCATTGCAACATTGATTGTTTGGATCATTGGTATATTAGCCTTCCGCTGCGCTATCTTGTACTAGGTGAGAGAGGCCGGTTCTTGTTCTGGTCTGTACCGTTACGGTATGCGACACTTAATGAGTAGTTCGAGGATGGGAGAGCTGGAGTTGGTTCTTTCTCAAGAGCATCAGCTATGGAGATTCATTGCAGAACAGTTCTTGGTTCAATTTGTATTCTTTGGTTCTTCTTGGGCAATAAAGTTGGGAGGAGGCGATTTGTGGGTGATGATTTGGTTACGAGATAATGAGGATTTGACATTCGGAATGGTATTTGTTTTTGTCTTCCCCTCCTCGCTCTCTCTTTGCTGTGCTTCCTTTATCTCCTAGTCTTCATCCTGTGTTGTGGCTTGGGGACATGTCTCAAATTTGAGTCCTGCATCATGATTGAACTCAGATTTCGAACGGAAAAGGAAAAGTAGAAGAAAAAGTTAAACATCATCTGGGAATTCTTCTCGCGTTCCGTACCTTCTTTTTGTATCGTTGCTAGTCATCCGCTGTTCACAATCTCTACGCTGGTGCGCTGTGCGCGGCGGTGCACTCCATATGGGCCTGCGCGTGGATGCTACATGCCCTTGATTCCTTGCATGAGCATCAAACTTTGTTTTTTCATGATGTAACTGCCAATAAATGAAAATTTCAGGAGTCCTATCTTTTTCTTTTTGACACTGATATACTCTTTTAAGGGCCCGCATAGCTTATATCTGCCAGTTTGGATTTGATCGTTTGTGAACAGCCTCTTGATGCATACTCGGAAACGAAGAAGCAGGCAGAACAGCTTGTTCTACAAGCCAATGGCCGGAATGGGTTGCTTACAATCTGCCTAAGGCCCAGTGCTGTCTTTGGTCCTGGAGACAATGTCTTCCTGCCAACAATTGTTGGTATGGCCCGAGCTGGTAGAATGAAGGTACTGTATAGTCTGATCTGTACCTGTGCTTGCGGTTTATTAATTATTTAATATTTATTTCACTTCAATTAATTAATTATTTCACTTCAATTACTTGGTGCATACCATGGGAGTGTTTAATCAGTACCCCTACTACCCCCCCCCCCCCCCCCCCTTGTGGCTGAATGGTATACGCATGTAACTTTTGATGAACAGATCGTGTGTTCGAACTTCGAAATTCGAATCCTTAAAAAAAGAAAAACACGTGTGATCCAGAAGCAAGCATTCCTGCCTTTTTTTTGTCTCCAGAGCTGGCATGTGCACAAAGCTTCTGAGTCCTGACCTTCAGTTAAATTTGTTCAATTTCTTTTTGGTAATTTTCTTACTGAATCCTTTTGGCTGAATTGTCTTCTTCCTCAGACCTTTAGGATAGTTTTCTTGTTCAGGGATAGGCGAGAGCATGACGAAGTTTTTTTCTCAATCAAGTTGAATCAACCACATTCTTAACGCCAAAGGTCCGCAATGTGAAGCAGCAGCTGAATCAGCTTCTGACCCAATTCTAAATACAATGCTAATTCAATAATCCTAAATGGCAGTTTGCGTGAATGCGTGCTGCATAGGGCGCAATGTTTTCTGTGTACATATTGATCCATCCATCCGTCTGTCCACCCGTCCAAACTTTCATGTGCCTGTCTGCCTGCCTGTCAGTTTCATTTATTTGCCCATTTGTCCATTGGTACATGTGGTTCACTCTGCCATCAGCCCATTTCGCCAGTCAGGCAGTCATTCTGCCCCACGCACCCACCCACATAGCCACTCATCTACCAGGTGAACCCCACACCGCTGAGCTGCACCTGCACTCAGTTTCCAAGTATCATTTGGGGTCACGCAAACCACTCATCCGTCCAATGCATCCGTTTGTATATCCATCGTCCCTGTGGCAGCCATACCCCTGTCTGCATCGTCCCGACACCCGTCTGCCCATCTGTCCACCCTGTCACCTATTCATTTCTCCAGCTATCCAGCTATCCGCCTGTCTGTCCAGCTGTCCTGCTATCTGCCTGCCAGTTTGCCTGTCTATCTGCTCATTGGTGCCGGCCTGAAATTTAGTCCAGACAGTGTGCACTGGCACTTTATACTCGAGTCTGGTAGAACTCTAGGCCACCGAAACCATCCATCTGTCGGGCCATTGCATCTATCCATCTTCCTTGTCTACCATCTCTCCATCCAGCCATCTGCCTGTTGTCCTCTGTCCACATGCTACCTAATCATCTGCCCAGCTATGCGCCTGGCAGCCCCAGCGCCCCTTGGTAGTTTGAACTCCTTAAATCCCTTCTTATACCCTCCGAACCTCCTGGGTGATCCACAACCAAATTGGAAGATAAGACCGGATTCCGACTGCTAGGCCAAACACAGTCCTGGCCTGAAGTGAAATTTCAAATTTCTGTTTTTCTTTGGGGGTCCTTGCCTTTTTTTTTACCAAACACAGTCCTGGCCAATCACAGGGTATAAGTTTGACTGGATAGGGAACACCAGAGCACGTCCCATCAGTATGACATTTAAGAGCAAAGGGTAGAGAGGAAGCAGCATTGCATGCGCAAATCTTTTCGTTCTAATCTAGGAAATGCTGGATCGCAGCAATCATTGTTGCATGAAAAGTGTTTTCGAGTTTTGCAATCTTACACTTAGAAACAGTATATGTATCCTGTAGACAGTGTAGAGATATTAGAGAAGGCATTTTTTGATGATTTTTCCTCTTTTTTTAAAAGCAAGTAAAGGAGCTAGTCCACACGTAAGTGTGAGGTTTCAATGTTTTTGGTGTGCATACGGAATGCAAGATTGTACTGAATTAGACAATCGTATATTGAGGTGGGCAAGAGAGCGATTCCTATCTTACAGGGGAGAAATCGACTCCTGACTGAAGTGTGATCTCTTACCAACCTCGCGACATCATCGATCGCGTGGATTAGGGCCAACACGACGGGGGACGTCAGGGCATGCCCCACCAATGCGGCACCTACGAACAGAAGGGTATCCATCGGTCATGAATAATAATCATTCTTCCGAGAAGACGTGCGTAAGAGTCGGTCGGTAAAACAGGAGATCAAGGGAGCATATCTGGTATGGTGGCTATGCCCACCATATCGAGTATGGTGCTGACCTTCTACAACGAGGAGGAGGACGTTTTATCTCTTGTGTTGTCATCTGCATGTCAGATTGGGAAAGGGAATGGCACTTCGTAGTCGAACATCTAGCAGACATTGAGTCTTTGTTTATTCGTTGATGAATCTTGCATGTAATGAGATCTGAGGGAGGAGCACGAGGGTGATGATTCGTGGTGGCACGATGAGGGTGATGAGGATTGGGTGATCCTGTCTCAACTGAGTCAACTCTGTCTATAAGCTCCTTCGTTCCTTCATTCTTCTGTTTATTGCAACAATTGGCTTCATGACAAGTTCATGTCTATGCAGACTATGCTTCAAATTCAAATTCGTGTTATGGATCATGAAATGTACCAGGATGACATCACAGTCAATTACTGGCATGGAATTTTTGATGACAATGATGGTCTATCTCTGTTGGACCACCACTGCTTGTGAGGCTATCCTTTTTGACACACTGTACAAGGGGCTGACAGCACTGTGCAGTAGCAATCTGGGGGAGACTCGACGCGGTTGTAGCATTTCACTGTCACACATTTCAATGGATGGCTGCAAAACGGAGAATGGTGGCTTCCTGCACCGACTGTTTAGCGGCGGGTGGCAAAGGGTGCAAAGAGCCTTGTGTGAATGGAAGCCTTTTGAAGGCTTATATAGGCGCGCACCTCTCCAGGCCCAATGGGCCTTATGAAGGCTTATGAAGGCTTGAAGGCTTATGAAGGCACCTCTTCAGACCCAATGTTTGGCAGCAGGGTTGGGAAAGAAGAGAGGTTTGACAAAATAATTCTGGGTGGTTGTTGTGCTTCGAACGTGAAAGCTACCGTAGTTGTAACACGAGTATTCTTCGGCATTCATGTGGCTTCCAGATAATGTTGTGGCTCTTCTAACAGATGTACTGGGTTGGCGTGTTCGTTTGTACTTGACAGTTCATTATTGGTTCTGGTGAAAACGAGATGGATTTTACCTACGTCGAAAATGTTGTTCATGCACACATACGTGCGGAATCTGCTCTTGTTCCAAGCAAGGCGAACGACGAGTATGACAATCCTTCGGGAAAGGTATGCTGTACTCCCCTCTTTCTCGAGTCTACCGTCTTCACCCGAATAGAATGCCCGGTAATTATGGCCCTATCTGGGCTGAAAGTTGTGCCAAATACAGTTATAATGACCGGGCGTTCTATTCGGGTGAAGACGGTAGGCCTTCAAAAAAGAAGCTGATTGAGAATGGGTTCTTTTCTGCAGGCTGACATCTACTGAGCTTTACTAGGAGATGGTTCCCAACTTGCCAAAGTAAAGTTCATTGTGGGTGTTGCTGCTGCTTCACTTGCACTAGTGCATTGTGGTGCGAAGTTTGCGAGCAAGAAGGATGAGTAGACACTTGCAGCATTGTTATCATGGACAAACACAATTCACATTATGTTGAAGTAACTAATCCGTGCACAGCGGAAGACTGAACGCGCTTGCATTTCATAAGAATGGCTTTTTGAAAAACACGACCAAGCTCGACTGAACTGCAGATATTTCCTCATTTTTTAATCCCCATATCCCGAAAGCTCGACCCTAAGTCTGCAAATCGTAGGATTGGTATCTTCCGCGGAAATGTTTTTGTTTTCTCTTCTGTGCTCGTTCGTAGTCAGTGGAATTTGATGACATATTTAAAGATATTTTGATATTTGTTGCAACTGGTGGGTTTGGCCGCCTCTGCAGGTTTACTTTATCACAAATGGGGAGCCTCACAGATTCTGGGACATCGTGTTTGAAATTCTTACGTCCCTTGGATATGACTCGTGAGTTGCTTAACCACACCTTTTTTCGATGGGGACTTGAGGTTGATGTGTTCTTTGATTGTGAACGTCAGACTTCTTGATTAGTGATTCTCTCTCCATGGACATAACAATGTCATACATGCAATTGTCTCAAACCGTTTACGTAGAGTGTGCAATGATTGTATTGAAGATGATTCACATGGGAAGGTTTGGCTCTTTCTGAGCATCCAGTTCCCCCTAGCAACACTCTTAAAAACGATTGGAAAGAAATGCATTAAGCGGCCGCTTTCCACCCAAACTAGCTTGTCTGAGTGATTAGGAGCCCCTTCGTCCCAAAACCCCAATGGACAATGAAGTAATTCCTAGAAGCAAAAGAGATGATGTGCCTGGTGAGAGCAAGTGGAGTCCAGGGTGTATTCACTGCTTTGGCGATGCAGAGGCAAGGGAAGGGGGGGGGGTTGTTTCAGCCAAGCTGAGCTAGCAAGGCCTCAAATTCTGGAAGCAATTCTTAGAATGGTGAACAACAGCTCCTCGGCCGGGTAATCCACCGCCGTGTGGTGCACGCCTGGAATGGACATGATGTCTGCCGAGACGCGCGGATGCTAGCAGCGAAGGTGTGGAGCTCAGGTCTTGTGAGAGAGGGGGGGTGTTCCTGTTTGGAAATACAGGGGATGGATGGGGATGGGGGGCAATAATAGGAGTGATTTATCATTTATTTTTATTTTTTTTATCACTTTGTCTGGCAGACAATCCGCTGGCTGAATGCGGACTCGACTTACGGGAAACGTGCTTTGACTACTTGGTGTGCTCACTATTAGTTTCTGTTTTGCTTGTATTTCCTTTTTTTGTCACCGTGAATGGAGATCGTTTTCTACCATGGCTACGGTGGTTTACCCTTGGGAAGAATCCAGACACCCAACTGCAGGAAAACTTGCTTCCGCTACTTGCTACTAGCTTTTAATTGTACACTTCCTCTTGTCAGCATGAATACGCTGGGATCGTTCCCCAGACACCCAACTCTAGGACACCCTGGAGAGATCTGGAGGCCTGGATTTTAGGACACCCTGGAGAGATGTGGAGGCCTGGATTTCCCAACTAGTGTAGATCATCAACAGACAGAAGTTGGCCGTCATCATCCATACCCGACTCGTGTCCACGTGTCCAGATCTGTTGGGCGGAAGAAAAGAAAGTGAGTTCACGTTCACGGGCATGGCAATCGTCAATTAGGGACTCGGGAACACAGGCAAATTGCAATCATAGTATCATACTAAAAAATTTCGAAATCTTAGGAAATCGGACTAAGAAACATGAAGGTTTCAAGGCTCAGATTTAGCAACCCATTCTTCCGTTAACGGCATACCATTTTCCTAATGGCATACCATTGTTGATGATCGGATTTTTTTTTTTTTAATCGGATACGATCGGGTGTGCAAAGGTTTTGTTCTTTGCACGTATTGATGTGTTTTATTGATTTGTGTTTATTCACTTCTCTCTGTGGAAAAAACGAAAAAAACGAAAACATGAAGGCTCAGAAAACTGCAGAAATCACAGACTGAAACTGTGCTGGTCATTGCACATTGAATTGGAGAGCATTTCCTCACCCACTGTGTAGTCAAAACTTTCCACGGGTCAGGGACCCTTTGGCCTTAGACGGAAGGAGAGTGGGTATTGAATCTATTGGTGTATCATGATTGTCTCACTTGGCGGTGGAAAGGAACGGGACTGACGCTCCCCAGAATGGACAGGAGACTGGACCATAAGCACCTGGTTTTTTTTTCCCCTTCGAGAAGAGAAGAGAAGAGAACGCTCTCCAGAATGGACAGGAGACTGGACCATGAGCACCTGTTTTTTTTTTCCTTCGAGAAGAGAAGAGGAAAGAGGAGAGGAGGAGAGAGGAGAGGAGGAGAGAGGAGAGGAGAGGAGGGGAGAGGAGAGGAGAGGAGAGGAGAGAAGAGACAGAAAGACCACAGAATGTCTCCGCCGGTAGGAAAAGAACATTGTTATCCTCGTTTGAGTCGTTTTCATTTTGTTCCCGAATTTGGTTGTGAATTTCAACCGGACTTGCAGGTGAAAGTCGTCCGTATTGCAATGTTGTACAGCATATTTCTTTTCTAAGTTTTAGACTTTAGTTACGTTTAGTAACTTTTTAGTAGTAAGTTTTACGGAACCTTTACCAAATTTTCTGATTTTCTTGAAAGATCGAAAGATTCGAAACTCTAAGAAAATCAGAAAACAGATTGTCTCAGAGACTGCACAACTCTTATGCAACGTATGCGTGGCGTATTGGAATGCAACACACACACAAATGTTATGTTCAAATGCGCCATACATACGTGTATTCGAAGTTCAAATGTACGTTCTATTCGGAAGAAGAAAAAACAGTCATTGCTGGAAACCTGTTTTTCATAGGTAGCTTGAATATAATGCACGTACTACGTACGTGTTTTTGGGGTTAAGAAGGTAGCGTTTTGAAAACCTATTTTAGGTAAGCGGTGTAGAATGTCAAGAGGGTAGCATTTTTGGGGGGTCAATATTTCTTTCCTGTTGCCTTTCTTTCAGAGGTTTTCCTTTTTTGGTTTAGGGTCTCTGTTCGGTGAGTAGTACTGAGTACCTTTAGCGTGTCAAGTGGGGAGGATGTTAGATTAGAATTCTTGAAGTGAGAGCATTGAACACTCCGACGAATCTTGCATGGAAAATGGAAAATGCACACTCCTATGAATCTTGCATGGAAAATGGAAAATGTACACTCCTATGAATCTTGCGTGGAAAATGTTTTCATTGGCTAAGTGTGTCTGGTGTTTGCTCCAGGGATTGGTGGGGAGTTGGGTGAAAGGCTTATGCGGTTTTCGTCGAAAAGGCCAAAATACGAAACCAGATAAAATTTTGACTCTTAACCACGTCTTCCATTCTTCGTCTTTAATTGGATGCAGTCACATTGCAGTGCCTATATATCCCCCCTCCCTGTGAGCCTGGGCTCAAAGAGTTGATCGATATGATATTGGTTGTTGTCATGTTGCGTCCTTGCAGGCCGAAAGGGAGTCTACCTCTCTCAGCAGTGCTACTGATGGCCCAGGGGAATGAGCTTTTTCGTAAAGCTCTGGCGCCTCTTGGCGTTCCTCTTGGGGATTTTTCTCCATCGAGAGTAAAGCACACGACGGTGTGGCGGACATTCTACTGCAGCCGTGCGGCAAAATTGTTGGGCTATGCGCCTATTATCCCATTAAAGGTAAAAAGGAGGCAAGGGAGGTTACACAACCCATGTTCAAGTCGTCGGCGAACACGAGAACGGTGTAAGGGGTCGTCGGGACTCGGGGGAGCGAAGCAGTCCTTGATCTGCTTCGACATCTCAACAATCAATTGAAGAAGAAGAAGTGGTTTGCATTTGCACGAGTGAACTATCAGTTTTAAAATTTAAATTTTAAAATTTTAATCAATGTGTTGCATGAGGGATCGATCATTTTGAATCTGTGTTGTTTTAGCGATCTATCGTTTTTTTATTCTTGAAGGATCGTGTTGCATGGTCCTTCGTTTTTGAATCAACGTGTTTTATGTCTGTTGCTGGATGCAGGAGGGACTGAGGCGAACCATAGAGGCGTATCCTCATCTGAGGGCTGAAAATGCGCCAGAAATGGCTCGTGATTTCTCTGCGTCGAAAGTTCATGCCAAATTGGGAGGTGGAAAAGGTGAGAGCTTACTACTTATGCCAGCCAGCCTTTCTCGTCGCCCACTGATGAACTCAGGTTGGTGTTTTCGAACTCTTCGAGTCTTTGTTGGTGCCCTAAATGATAACTTTCGACATTCGCAATGAGACGACCTCATTTCACACCGCAACTCGCAATATGCACAAACGTCACACTTCATCACAACAAATTCACACCAGACATGGAAACCAATGAGATAGATCGAAACTTTGAAAATAGTCTGGAAATCTTTTATCTCATACAGCAAGTTCGTACGCCCAAAAAAAAAAAAAAAAAAAAAAAAAAATGCTGGTCCCTTGTAGCGTCGGAGGCAGCTTCTCTTCAATGCGGCTCTGACCACAAGTCACCCGGTATGCTGCTACCTCCGCCATCTCTTGCCCAGTCCTACTTCACCCTTGTCCTGCCATTTGCACTATCTATGGTTGCTCGCGGGTGCTGTTTGCTGTTTGGGGACATTTTGCTGAGACTCATGTTCTTGTTGTGCTGTTGTGTTTCTTTGCCTTGCAGTTGCCGACGTCCTGCTATGGAGGGATGCTTTGCAAACGACAATAGTGTTTTCGTTTGCAGTCGTCCTTTTCTACCTCCTCTTTATGTCTAAGTTCACACTGGTATCCCTTTTTGCGGATGCAGCAATATTGTTCTCGAGCATTTGCGCACTTTATGGATTCTCCAACAAGGTTCTTGGATCGTAAGTCTCTCTCTCTCGCTCTCACCAGGTTGTCCTCATTTGGGGAGTGGCCCTCGTGTTTGTGCATTCTCCATCTGGTCGCTACTTTTTCTGTGTTTTTGATGTGTGCGTCAGCTCTGTTTGTATTGGGGTTCCCGTGCATGTTCAGGACTATGGGTAGGAAGCCGGACATTGTTAGGAATTTGCCAAAATTCGACTTCTTCCCTTGCATGTACAGCGCTCAAACAATTTGAACTTTGAAGTGAAGACATCATTTCTTGAAAAGATGCCAATTGGTGAAAAGCTTTACACCAAGCTCATCAGATTGAACAATTCACAGCAGAAGCACACACTTGCTTGTTGTGGTAAAAAAAAATGAAAAATAATTTTAAAATCTCAAAAAAAGGTAATGTCCACTTGGGTGCCGCCAGGCTGCACTGAGCAGTCTGCAACAAATGGCACTCAAAAGCTTGCACTATAATGCCAGAACACGCTGGCGAGGCTGCGCGCAAACCCTCTCCCTCAGCTGCCAAGATTGCCGCTGCTGCTGCTGCTGCTGCTTCTACTCACGCCACTAAAATCACGAACTGAAACTAAACGAATTTTACTCCTAGCTCGTCACTTTTCATTGTGCCATTTTTTCCTCAGCCTACAGGGTTCTACCGGGCTCTGGCCTACCGTCTTCACCCGAATAGAACGCCCGGTCAATATATCTGCATTTGCCACAACTTTCAGTCCAGATGCAGCGATAATTACCGGGCGTTTTATTCGGGTGAAGACCGGTAGAGAATTCTAGATGTCTAGGTTCCCTATAGCGTCCCTATGTGTCCAAGGGGAGCTAACAGAATATATGCTTACTTGAAGCTCCAAGGTCCTGAAAATACAAATCAGAACTTGTTTTTGCGTCACATTTGGCTCAGGTCTCAGGTTCAAATCCCCCCGAGGGCCTGAGCCCAACCCTCTCTCTCTCTGCCTCAATTCAAATTTCAAAGTCTGTCGAGAACCTACTAACAGGTCTGCAAGCTGAGATCAGACTCCAGGAATAATGTTATAAGTTATAACTTATAAATTTATAATACACACATCTAGTATAGGAAGCATACAGAATATATACAGTTACTCCGGCTGGAGTCGATTCTCTTCTTCTCCGTTGCTGTTGGCGGTTTCTCTCATAATCGGCTTCAATCCGGCGTGTCGTCTCCATCGACATACTTGTGGCTACCCACTCGTCTTCTTCCTCTCCGGGATAGCATTGGAACTTGACTCTGTAAATCTTTTGCTTAGCCTCCTTCTTGGTCTCTCCGCACATAATCGGTGATCAACAATCTTTCTCCGCATCTTCCTTTCAATCCGTGGGGTGGGTGGATACATACTTGGCTACCCTTGAGCTTGGATGGTGGCGTGTATGGTATTATTTCGGAAGCATGGAAAGCAGCGTAAGTTCGGAGATGCGGTGGCACGTCAATCAGGTAAGGTGGCCCTGTCCTGCTGTCCCCAACCGACTTCAGTATTTCCGAAGGGCCACGCCACTTCCGGCAAAGTTTTCACGACGTTCCTTCCATCGACCCAAATTCATTCCCCTGCTCCTCTTGCCATTAGCCCTCACATGATCGTCTCCTCTTGTTTATTAGTAAATTATTACATGTTGTTATTTTATATTGTTATATTGTAAAATATTTCTATTATTGATATTGTGAATGTTTTGATCTAGGTTTTCATTGCATATGTTTTTATTGCATTTTAATGAATGATGAAGGAACAAGAATCCATGTCCGAATGATCTCGCCTACCGCAGTGAAGAAAGAGCTCTCGTTTACCCTCCTCCTCCCTCCTCCTCTCACTCTCCTCTTGTCTTGGGAAGACACCTATCTATGGCAGTTTGTGCATGCATAGCAGGGATGAGAACAATCCCACTACTACCATACCTCTTCCATCTTCTACCACCATAGCCTCACTCCAAATGCAGTCCATGTGCAACCGACACTTTAACAGAGGCCTTCTTGATGCAGTGCCACCACTCCTTGTCGGTCACTTCCCTTCTCCTCCTTCACTTCTACTATACCCCCCAGTACCTTCCTCAGGCCCATCATACCTCTTCCATCGTCTACCGCCATAGCCTCGCTCCAGATGCAGTCCATGTCCAACCAGTTCTTTAACAAGGGCCTTTTCTTGATGCAGCGCCATTCCTTGTGGGCCACCTCTTTCCTCCTCCTCTATTTCTATTAGACCCCCGGTACCTTCCGCAGGCCCAAAACCACTTCCTCCCGGTCACCTCCTTGCAACCCCTCCAACCCCTGGACCTTCTGCAGGCACAATGCAACCACCCGCTACCTTCCTCTATAGCCAGGCAACTCCCCCTCTCTTACCCTCCTCTTCGTCACCCTTTTGCTCCGCCTCTTCACGTAAGCGCTGCGCTTCACTTCCCCCTGTAGGCAGAGCAGTGGGATGAAAGCCAGGTCAATACCCGGGCTACTCATTGCACCGCATGATATACTCTTGCCTCCAGCCTCTTGCCCTCTCACCCGGTCTACCCCTGGGCCTGCTGTGTGTGCTGCCCAGCCTACCAGTTCCCTCCTAATTCCACCTGCTAGACTACCTACACCTAATCCTGACTAGATACAGGGTCGTTACCTTCGCAACTCTACCTACTACCGTCTTCACCCGAACAGAACGCCCGGTAATTATCGCCGTATCTGGGCTGAAAGTTGTGCCAAATACAGCTATAAAGACCAGGCGTTCTACTCGGGTGAAGACAGTAGCCTGCTGGTTCTCAGGGCCTACCTGAGTTACTTGAATAGTCTACTAGGTCCCTATCAAATTCAACTATTTCGCCGTCCATCCATCGTCCAAATTTCAGTCCTACCCTGCACTAAACCTATTTAATATTTATTCTTCTCTCTCTCTCGTGGTACGCATACACAACACGAAAGCAAAGCTAGCACAGGGACATCGCCTCAGACCGAGCAAACATCAGAAAGACTCCCCGAACACCGCACACAACACAGCAGAACAGATTCAGGCAGCATGTTCTCAGAGAAGTGTAGATTTTTCTCATCAGACTGCAACTGTGCGGGTCGTCACACTGTCCTGTCGTAAATGTTTTCAGATTCGGATACGAACTTTGGGATATTCCACCAGTTGAAGACTTGGAGTTCAGGGAGGAATCAACAAGAGCGATCGCCACAAGGATTACGTCAAGTGTGAATGCGCTCTCACCTTTGCTGACAGTGCTGCTCAAGGGGAGGAGCCCGAAAGTGACATTGAAGGTAAGCATACTAAGCAATATGAAAGGGAAGTCTGCTTGTCAAAAACATCACTGTTTGGGATGTCACACCTCACACCATGATTAACCATCGCCCAAGAATAGCGTGAAGAAAAAGCAATGGGTGACGAAGTCCCCGAGCTTTGAGAAAGGACACATTCAGTCCCAGGAGGAATGCAGAGTACATGTGACCATTCGAGGCATAATAGGTCATTTTTGTGTATTTGTAGATATAGGGGTGAAGCTGATGCCACAAGTTTAGACACATGCATATGTCCACGACACAGAGAGAGAGAGAGAGAGAGAGAGAGAGAGAGAGAGAGAGAGAGAGAGAGAGTTGTTGGAATGGGAATGATGTTTTATGCTGATGGATAGGTTGGGCCAGATAGATCATAGAAGGCAGATGTTGTATCGTTGACCGTCCTAGCATCCGAGGCATTTGCTTGTTGATGAAGCGATGTGCCAAGATATGATCATGCTGAGGACTGGACTAGGGCAGACAAACGCATGAGGGGTGTGAGGGTGCTGGGGAGAAGAAAGGTGACCACAAAAGGTGACCACAACGGGTGGGGTGCAGGATGGTGGAAAATGCACCCTTCCATGAGTTGGATCCTTGAAAGATGAAAGATGTGGCATCATTTCAATTGCTCTGAAAAAGGAAAATAAATTTTAAATAAAAAATAAAATAAAATGAAAGACACAAAAGAGTCGAAAGACTGACCACAACGGTGCAAAATCAGCTGCCAGATTGTGTCCTCCTAAATGGAGGACACGATCTGGCTACTGAATTTGTGATTCTGCGATCTTCAGGGCCTAATGTGAGTCTACTCTTAGAGTATACTCACACAAGGCCCTCCACATCACAAAATAAGTAAGCGAGCGGCCAGATGGAGTCTTTCGGTTACAAGGACTATATCTGGCCAGGCATTTTGCGATTTTGCGATTTTGAGGGCCTCGTGTGAGTATGCCCTTATCTAGGTCTTTTGGTACATTACCCTAAGCAACACGTGCGATTGCATTCCCGGGCCCATGGAAAGGTTTGGAGTGGCAAAAGCAGAATTATTTTGTGAGTTGTCCATTCCCAGGGAGGAGAAGCTACAGGCTATAGCTTCATCGGCACGGGAATTTCAAATTTGAAGATTTTCTTTCCGGTTGGGACACATTGTCTATGGCCTTGAGATGTCATCTTTGAGACCCAGGTTTTTGTTTTTTGCTCATCCGGACCGGTTCAATTGGGATTCGAACTCTGGTCGGTATTTACTATTTTTAATATATTTTAGTATTTTTTCAACAGTTCATGGGTATACAAAGCTAGGCCAGTCGGTAGCGGACTAACAACTCTTTTTTTTTCCCCTGTTTTTTTCCTTTTTTTTTTGGGGACCGTTTCTCAATTTCTGCATGTCGTCCTTCCGCAGGGGCCATGTTAGTCTCCTTTCTCTGTATGGTTCCAAATTCCAATTTTAATGGATGTGTCCCGAAGGACAGCAGACTTGCAAGTTTTCCTTTCCCTTTTTCGATCAATGCGATTTTTGAATGCTGCTTGGTCTCAAGGTTTTTTTTTTTTTTTTTTTTTGAATCAGGGGACAGCTGTCCTCGTGATGAGTCGGTGAAACTCCGACGAAACAGTTTGTCACAGCCCCTCCCTCGTTTGTTGTCCTCTTCTTCCTCTCTGCCTACGGTTTACCGAGCAGCTCTGTTTGATGATATTTATATATACGATATATATATAGTAAATATTCACTAAGATGAGGAATCTTTTTAGTGATTCTTTCAGGTCCTAAGCTTGTCATATTCACTTCTATGTACTAATCCATAACGGTCAAAATCAAATCTCGAACCAATTAAAGATGCAAACTCAATAAAACAACAACTAGTACCATAAAGTAAAGGCCATAGACTAGATAGTCTAGCCCAATTTATATATATAGGGTTCAGCCTCCTGATGAGTCGGTGAAACTCCGACGAAACAGTTTGTCACAGCCCCTCGTTTGTTGTCCTCTTCTCCCTCTCTGCCTACGGTTTACCGGGCAGTTCTATTTGACGATATATATATTTCTGAAAATTTCTCTCAATTTTCTCTCCATGTTTCCTCATATGTATGCACCTTCTCAGCGTGGGACGTTCTTGTCCTCTTCACGTACTATATGCTTCATTTCCACATTTGGTCTTGTCTTTTCTGTGTCCAGGTGTCCAGTATGTTTCCTGTGCGGTTTTGATGAGGCATACAATGCTTGTTTTTGTGGTGTGCTCAGGCGATTGCATTCTTCTGGTTGCTGGCAAAGGTGGGAAGATTCGCTTTGCGTGCCCAGCTTGGTGTATGTAAGTATTTCTGGCCGCTCTTATTACGGTTATCATTTCCCATTAGATCAGTACTTCCACACCCTTGGATCCCTGCGCACAGCGGCACGCGGGTTCGAACCGGCACCCTTGGCCTCAAGCGCCTTGCATTGTAACCACTGTGGCCATGACACTGTATTCATTATCGTGAAATCCACCCCACCCTTGCATGGATGCGGTGCCCGTACTCGCTCACAGGCATTATGAGATCGTCTGATTCTGCAGGTTGTGTCCGTACTCACTCACACACATTATGAGATCGTCGGATTGTGCAGGTTGTGTCCGTACTCACTCACACACATTATGAGATCGTCTGATTGTGCAGGTTGTGTGGCAGGGGGAGGTTCAGGTACTTTTTGTGTTGCGTACAGGTCCTGCGGTGTATTTTTTATTTGTGGCGGCTTTGTAGGCCGATTCAGACGGCTCTGTAATTTTTTGTTTACACCATTGGTGCATGTGGCTGGTGCTTTCCTGTTAGTGGAGCCTTTTGTGTTATGGACCTCATGGTGCAATTAATTGTTGCGTGATTGTCGTTCTTTGAGTGTGTTGCCTTATGCCCTCTATGAGGTTCTATCCTTTTATAGATTATAATAATAATAATAATAATAATATATTTGCGCAAGTGTGCCACTCCGGCGGCAGACGGATGTGTGGGCACTTGGCGCTTAACCACACAAGCGTGGCCAACCTTGCATCTTCTACTACATACTACATATTACATTGTCTAACTATACCTTTTTTGTTTTGCGGATGGTTTGTGGTGATGATTCATGGATAGAATGAGAGAGAATTTGTTGTTTTTTTTCAGAAAACGCACACAACATCGCACATGATATTCTCTTGCGCACATGCTCGTAAACCACCACTGCCCCCGACATCAAGAAATTCTGAAAATTTCAAAAAAATGCATTCTGGGCGTGGCGCTCAGCAACTGCCCAGGGTCGGGGGCAGGTTTGGTAGGTCGTACGAAAATGCCCCTGGGCTCGTGGGACAAGACGTCCGCTTTCGTGTCAGCCGCCCTCCACTGCGCCAGTACGAATGTTATGGAACGGTTAGGGTGCTCTCAGCTCGTAATGTAAGCCTCACGTGTTGCACGGGCAGAATGCAAACAGAAAAATGAAATAAACATAAGTAAGTTAATAATGTAGCCCAAAAAAAAAAAAAAAAAAAAAAACAGTAATACCTCGGCGGTCAGGTATGTGCCCTCGCCCCACCACGCAACACTCCGTATGACATATGTGACATGTCTAATCGAGATGAGAAGCATGGAAAAAGAAAAAGACAAAAAAAAGCACAAACAGCCTGGAAATGGAAAAAGAAAAAGACAAAAAAAAGAACAAACAGCCTGGACATGGAAAAAGAAAAGACAAAAAAAAAGAACAAACAGCCTGGAGTCCTGGACACTTAACGTCTAACCAACGGGTCTACCGTAGCTAGGGCCTCGCTCCTACTCGTGACACTAAATTAGTAAAATATGGCAGCGCATACTTCCATTTTCTAGCGGAAGATTCATTCTCATTTTGCACGTTTTTGGTGAGTGGTGGAGCGAGGCCCATAGTACTAGTACTTTTCGCTCCTCCACCCACCAAATGTGCAGAATGAGAATGAATCTTCTGTGAAAAATTGGAGTGATGCACACTGCACAGCCTGTTTTTGCCGGTCTTTTTTCTGTATGTGGAGTGGTGGAGCGACCTCTCTTCCTCCATCTGCCTCCACCCGTTGCCGCCTGTGCACTCGCAATTTCCTCTTTCCCTTGTCAGAAATAGCAAGCTTGAAAAAAACCCCAACCCAAATTACAGGGGTGCAGGTTGTCCACAATCCGCATGCCGAGTGTGTAGGCTGAAGATGTTTGGCCTCTGGCCACCCAGAAGGGAAGAGGAGAAGAGATCCTTGTGCCTTCTTCAGAGTCTTCTTTCCCCTGTGAGAAATAGCAAGCTTGAAAGAACCCCCAACCCAAATTACAGGTGTGAAGGTTGTCCACAATCCGCATGCCGAGCGTGTTGGCTGAAGATGTCCGGCCTCTGGCCGCCCAGAAGGGAAGAGGAGAAGAGATCCTTGTGCCACTGGGGCACTGGCCGGACCGCCTCGGTAGCAGAGGAATGAATGGGGAGTTTATCCTCCGACCTGTTGGTTTGTTAAGATAGGGGGTCGAGGGCAGTGGTGGTTTAATCCAGCATTGACCCTCAACCACCAGGGGGGCTTCGCCGACGGCCGCCCACTCCTGGTACAAACTCCAGGGGACCCAAGACGGCCACCCACTCTTGGTACAAACTCCTGGTACTTGGCCTGGGACTTGGCCTGGTTACCAGGCCAAGTACAAGTCAACAGCGACAGGACAAAAGGCATCCTGAACTACTCTTTGAGCCTTGTAAAGAAGAACAAAGGCGTGGACGTATCATACTAACGTCTTCACCCGAACTCTTTGAGCCTTGGCAAGAAGAAACGAAGTCGTGGACGTATCGAAGTTTTACATTCTAAGGATAGTCTTTATCTCAGCATTTTACATAAAAAAACAATCAATGTGCAACTACCGTCTTCACCCGAATACATCGCATGGTCATTATAAGTTTTATGACTGTATTGGGTGCAACTCTGAGTCTAGATACAGGCAATAATCACCGTATGTTGCATTTGGGTGAAGACGGGTTGGACAACTGAGCCTTGGCTGCCTGTTGCTGAGCCTGCTTACTCATATGGAGAAATTATCCATTTTGTGCACGCCATGAGGCTTGCCCAGATTTGAGTGTGTTTTTTTCCAGATTTGGGAAGTTGGTGAAATTTCTCCTCAACTAGACCTTACCACAAATATTTTCTTTCCTTTTCTTTTCTTTTCTGTCTGTTTACTTGTCCCTGCTCATGGCCTCTTCCTGTCTGTTTACTTGCCCCTGCTCATGCCGTAGGGTTTTTTTTTTTTTTT